TTTAATAATTTTAATTAAAATTATGCAAAATTCAAACAAACGGTATGTCACAATTAATTCACTAGATATCTGTTTGAACTGTATTATTAGGTTTTTCTTTAAATGGACTAAGGATTAAGGAAGTTTTTAATTGGACAAAAATTTTCTGATCTGGTCTGGTCTAGTAAATTTTTGATATATGTGTATTTTATGACTATTCAAATCTAGTTTAGTCTGGTGTGGTCTGGTCAGATATGAAATTGAAAACAGTCCAAATAAAAACACTCTAAAAGTGAACGTCATTATGCAGAACAAGTTTAAGTTACCAAATACTCCCTCCGTTCTCTAATACATGTCCCTCTTTCCATTTTGGGATGTTCTCCAATACATGTCTCTTTTTCCCTTTTTAGAAAGTTTTTTCAATAAATATACCTATATACCCCCATTCTCTTTCCTACTTTTTCATTCTCTTTCCTACTTTTTCCTTTACACACAACCCACTACACATTTTATCTTACCCCTATTAATTCCTTCTTAAAACTTGTGACAAATGCTATACTCTCATCTATTAAAGATCGGAGGGAGTAAATTATTAGTAGTTTGTTGAGCATTATCAAATAAATTATTAAAGCTAAGAAAAAAGAACACTAGCCATGGGTAATCTAATTATTTGTTCGTGAAAATAAAATGAAATGATTACACATTTTAGACTAAAATTAAGCTTGTTTACAAAAATGTGACTAGTGAGTAGAGTAGTAATGAAATCATAGTAATTTATGTTCAATTTTTAAACTTAAATTACTATGACAATACATTGTAGTAACTATTAGTCATATACTCATATTTATGTAAATGAGTTTTATTTTGAGAATATTTATGTAAACAACCCTAATAAAATTCATTCATTTATATAGAATATTTAGAAATTACTTTAATTCTTTATTTATGATTAAACTAATTTTATCTTGGATATTGTTTGAAATCAGTTTTTGTATACGGAGTATCTGACATTGACAAAGTTACATTCAAGTATCCAACGAATATTCATATTTTTGAATATTGAATTAAATTTATCTCATCTAGATTCAATTATATTCAAATCATTTTTTATTTTCTCATAATTTATGACTTGATATACCTCAATTAAATTTGCTTCAAACAAAATAAACATTTTTATAGTTATATATACTACGTAAAAAAAATATACTACGTATATAGACAAAAAAAATACTAGGTATATAGTCAATTTAGTGACCTAAACTATCATTATTTGAGGAAGTTCAATTTTTTATTGGGGGCACCTTGAAATATTTAATGGGGGCAAATAGTTTTCTAGATATATAACTAATGTATTACTTAATGAAAACACAAAATTTATTGGGGGCAAGTGCCCCATTAACGTGAGAGTACATCCGCCCCTGTGAAACAAGCAATAAGGATCACAACGGAATGCTACTAAAAAGTTGGGCAAATGTTGGAGCGATGAGAACATTGAGGAGTACAAGGAGGCCAAAAGAAAAACAAAGAAAGACGTAAAGGAAGCAAGAGGGAAAGTGAACAAGAACTGTATGTAAAATTGGATTCTGAGGAAGGAGAAAAAGATATTTAAAAACTTGCTCGCCTCCATGATCGTACGTCTCAAGATATCGGAAAATTTAAGTGTGTGAAAGGTGTCGATCAAAGGGTTCTAATAAAGGACAGAGAAATAAAAGAAAGGTGGAGGTCATACTTTGATACATTGTTCAACGGGAATAAAGTGCAAGATATTGATGATCTTACTATACCAGATTGGGTATGCTAAATTGGGACTTCGTGAAAAGTATCCAAACGTCATAAGTTAAAAAGGCTCTCAGAAAGATGGGACGGAAGAAAGCAGTGGGTCCTGATGCATACCGATTGAGGACTGGAGAAATTTGGGAGAGAAAGAGATTGATTGGCTAACATGTTTCGATTGAGGACTGGAGAAATTTGGGAGAGAAAGAGATTGATTGGCTAACATGTTTCTTCAACGTCATTTGGAGAAACAACAAAATGCAGTGAGTTGGCGGAAGAGTACTTTCATCCCTTTATCTTAAAAACTTATAATAAAAACTTATAATAGTCAATGAGAGTTAGGGTATTTAGAAAAAAAATATGTTGGTGTAATCATCTAGCTTAATGTGGTGGTACATTATGCTTTACCATGTGTACTATATTTAAAGGAATTAACTTCCAGTTTAGTATGCATTTTTATATGATATTTTCACAAGTCTATTTGGAAATTTGGTAATGTACTTTCACCTTCGATGCTAATCTCCACAGGAGTCTTTGTGAACCATAAATACGTGATTATCATGAAACAACAATACAGCTAGGCTGAGATTCTACCCTACTGATATTTATTTGTAAACAAATTTTTCAATGGCAATAAGTGAAGTAGACAGGCTTCTCAACTGTGTGAAAAAATTGCTCTTAACATAGTTTAACCTGCATGAGTCATGAATATGGTTTACACACGGTGGAATTTAATTGTTGATATTGTATATTGCTAATGTACTTTGTCATTGTAGCTTCGGAGAGGTGTTGATAGAAGTATAGAACTGAGATCTCTGGTCTTTCCTTTTCTCCTACTGTCAAGTGGCTAGGTGTTTCAAGTGATAAAGGAATAGTTCATGTTTTCAATGTTAAGGTTGCATCTGGATTTCTAAGAGTTGAGAGACGTCACAACTCCAATAGCTACTTCACAGCTATCCTTTGTCAAAGGTTTATTCTTTCTAAAAACCTATTAGAAAGAAAGACATTATATTGGTTAAGGTTGATGATTTTGGCCACAAAATTTTCTACATATTCTTCTATCGAGTTATTTCCGCTAAATTATAAGAGTTAATTTGTCTAAAGATTATTCTTATATGGAGATTTTACTTCAGCTCAAACAAAATGAAATGACCCTTATTTGTTAAATGACAACTTAATAGATAGGAATTGTTTTAACTCGGGGCATTTGTCCGTTTATTTTTCTCACACCAAGTCGTCTTCTATTGCAAAAACTAATATCTAAACACAAACTCAAAATGGGTACAATCTCTCGTGCATCTTAGACTATCTAACTCATTTGACAACATTTTCTAATCTACACCAACCTTCCGGTTTTCTCTTAAATCTTGGTGCCCTACATCATGCATACGTCTTGGGCTCTCTTGTATTTTAGTCCACTAGAACAAACTATCTCACCTTAAATGTTTTTGAGTAGATGTGTTCATTTTAATTATTAATTAATTATCTTGCTTAGCTTGTTTATTATACTTCTAATAGAAAATAATAACTTCGAATATGAGTTTTTCCAACCACTTGAAGTCCAACTATACCCCAATAAATTCTCACCCTTAAGTTTGACATTGTAGCACACTAATTGATCTTCTATCACAAAATCAAATGTCTACACATAAAATGAACATTGGGCAATATCCCTGTGCGCATCACGGGTATATATAACTAGTTTAAAAATAAGGGTGGTGTACAAGAATGTGCCAACTATCGAGAGGTTAAGCTTATGAGTCACACCATGAAACATTGGGAGCGAGTGATTGAGCAAAGACTCCAAAAAAGTGTAAAAATTTTGGAGAATCAGTTTGGTTTTATGTCTGGACGCTCAACAACTAAGCCATATAAGGATATTAAAAAGGATCTGCATTTGATGTTCATTGACTTAGAAAAGGCATATGATTGAGTACCTCGAGAAGTTCTATGGCGGGCCTTAACTAGAAAAGGCATACCACGTAAGTATATCAGAATCATCATGGATATGTATGAGGTGTGTACTACAAGTGTACTAATGTAGGGAGGACCGCAGAGTTCCCTATTACTGGTGGAGTGCATCAGGGATCGGCTCTGAGTCCTTTCGTATTTGTTATAGTCATGGATGAACTTACGAAATCAATTCAAAAAGATATATCGTGGTGCATGATGTTTGCCGACGATATTGTATTGATTGATAAGACGCAATCTGGTGTTAAAGCAAAGTTGGAAATATGGTGATAAACATTGGAGACCAGGGGTTTCATACTGATTCGAAGCAAGACTGAACATATGGAGTGCAAGTTTGGTGGAGGTAGGAGTATTAGTACTAGTGGGATTACCCTTGATGGCAAAGAGATGTCAATGTGTGATATGTTCTCTTACTTGGTTACATAATTCAGAAGGATGGTGAATTAGATTGAAATGTATCCCATGGAATCAGAGCAGGGTGGATGCAATGGAAGATTGCATCAAGACTTCTATGTGATCGAGGTATGCCGACTAAACTGAAGGGTAATTTTATCGAATAACAATTAGGCCTGCATTAATGTATGGCATGAAGTGTTGGGCAGTAAAACAATGTCACAATTAAAAGATGAGTAGGGCAGAGATTCGTATGTTGCGCTGAATGTGCGAGCATACCAGAAAAGACCGCTTGAGAAATGACATTACCAGAAAAAAGTGGGAGTAGCACTTATAGAAGATAAGATGCAGAAGTCTCGATTGCGTTGGTTTGGTCATGTGAAGATAAGATGTGTTGGTCTCGAGTGATGCACCTCTGAAACGACTTGAGAGGTGGGGAGAAGAGGCCCCGAGAAAAGGAAGACTAAAACAGACTTGGATTAGAAGAATCAGAACTGAGATGCATCTTCTTGGGTAGGATGAGAGTATGGCTTTGGAGAGAGCAACATGGAGGACGCATATCCTTGTGGATGATTGATCTCTTTTCTCTGTTTTTGCTCTATTTTTCTTATATCATTTATCTTCTTCATATATTTTTGTTCTTATATTTCTTATGTTTGAATACTTTTTTTATCGTATACTACGTATTTATCATATATTTATCTTATTCATTTTATCTTATTTTAACTTTTTATTCTTTTTATCTTTCTTCTCTTTTTGGCTCTGATATATTGGTGATATTGATGTTAGCGGGCCCCAAAATCTTTTGTGAATAAGACATGGATGTTGTTGTCGTTGTATGTGTTTACTTGTATGTATATATGTATATGTATCTTTACCCAATACCCACCGTTCCATAACACATACTTCTAGTTTTGCGCCGCACTTGAGTGTTTAAAAAAAATTATATACATGAGTAGACACGGACAAGAACTATTCTGGGAGGCATTTTAACTTCTATATGTGGGGAATTAGATGGCCCGAAATTGCCTCCTCTTTGGTTTGCACAGAATACATGTACCAAAAACGCAAGAGACTAACATTCCATACGAGTTCCCATAATTTAACAAAAGGCAGTTCAGCAAGGATGACTGGCTCTCAATGCTATGCAGCATTTCCCTTTCACATGCAAAACTCTCCCTTGTCAAAAATTTCCCAATCTTCATCCGTATTATCATCTTTATCATGTCCCCTATCTCCGGTTTCCACTGCACAAACCGGAAATGTTAGGTCAATCTTCCTGGGCCATTGATCTGATGAATTTGTATGGTCAGCAGCTTGATCTGCAGGCTCAAGTGCCACACTTCTTGAAGATGAATTTGTTGAGGAAGCTAAAATGCAGCTTGTCTGACTGGAAGAAAATGATTTGCTTAGCGGAACGCCATTATCGAACTTCTCTTTGAGTAACCTGATATCCTGGCATATCACAGATATCTCTCCTCTGCAAAAAAAAAAAAAAAAAAAAAAAAAAAACAAGAATCCAAGATTAGCTCAGCATTCTTGAGACCCTAAAAACAGAACTGAAGTGTATGCAGAGTTAAGAGTCAAGACCCCGCCCCTGCCCCTTCTCAAGGAAAAATAGTAAAAGGAGAGCGAGCATCATATTTAAATCAAAATAGGAGGCTCATATTTGTTGTGTTCATCTTTAGCACATCAGAAAAGCAGGGCAGCTGCAAAATATTATTTAGTACTTACGAGCTAATATTAAGCTAACAAACAAACAAACATGTACATAAATAAATAAATACTTACTGCAGCATATCTACAACAAGGCCGCGATCAATGAGGAACTCTCGCAACTGAGATTAACAAACAAGTGTGTACAGATTAGGAATCAAGCACTTCAAAATCAGATCACATACAAAAGAGAGAAAAATCACGCATATGAGAGCGGTACTTACTTTGGAATTCTCTTCTGCCTCTTCCTTCAAAATGTATGCCTCTTGCACAACTTTCTCCATAATGCGTTCTTGTTCAGTCAGAGCATTCTGTGCAAGCTGTTCCTTTTGTATCTTGTCAAGCTCAGCAGCTTGCCGCTCTCTCTCAGCAGCTTCTAGACGTGCCTCAAGATTTTGTCGCATCTAATGAAAAAAATAGTAAAAATGTCAGGAGAAAGGACATCACAGCTATAACATGCCGTCAATATTACTTCCCTCCGTTTCCAGTTCTGATGAAAGGCATAAATTAAAACCACAAGACCCAAATTAGATAATCCCACAACATGGCCTTGGGGATATCTCTATGGACATAGCTAATTCTCTTTTCACAACAAAGGAAAACTTTTAGAGGAAATAATCTTCCGACAACAGGAGCAGTAGTAACACATGATGACAGGAAAGAATTGAAACCACATGGTGCACATCAAGCCCAAAAAGATATTAATTCTATTTAAAGAAAATTTCCTCACCTCGTCAAGAACAGCAAGAGATCTGTCCCTTTCATCTGCCATGCTAAGAAGGCGAGACTGTAGCTCTTTCACTTCAGTGGCCAGGATAGCCTTCTCACCATGCACTTCTCCAGCATGCTGCAACAGAAGTGCACTCCATGAAATCTAGAAGTAAATGAAGACATAATCATATTAACAAGACTTCAAATTCCTAGAAAAAGAAAGCAACCATGTCATTTGCTTCCTTAGCGTGTCTTAGCATTTGTTTCAGATGATCCACTCTATCAAGTATGCCACGTCCTCCAATGGAAGCTTCTTCCTTTGCCTGTTCTGCAGCTTTCTCTTGAAGTTCGACCTCTTTCATTAAACACATAAGAGACTCCATTGCGGCAAACATGTTTTTCTGTAAAACATATCATTTAGACTTGATGCAAATGAATCATAAGAACATATTCATGTTTTGATTATAATAAATCTAGGTATATATAGGCATTTCTAAGAAGATGACCATTAATCCGGATTGTACACTAACGAGCCTATTATTGAACTAAAGAGTTTGTTGAGTGCACCGAAAAATGAGGGCCGAGTCCATTGAATGTAGGCTACTACATAATCATACATTACTCCATAACCTGTGTATAATAAACCCCACCCTCATCATCCCTTTTCTTACTACACTCTTTCTTTCTCTTCCAAGTCATTGATGGTAAAAATCACAAATCAAACAAGGAACTTTGGAAATATTAACTGGGTAATCATATAGAAAGTTAGAAATCACAGCCTAAAGAAGAACAGCTTCAGCACACAAAAAAATAATAATTCATCCACTCAGTACTAGGATGAACATTTTGGCGCTAAAAGTCGTTATTTGAAGCAAGCTAGTCCATTAGACATACATCTTACACTCAAGGCATAGCATTAGTATTGAAGCATACACCACCTCATCTTAAAGCTAAATGTATGTACACAGTACTTGTTTTCTATTTTATGTTTATCCTGGCCTTACCATTCAATGGAAGAAAAGACAAGTGATTTTTGTGTTGGTACTCATCTACTCAGTACTAGGATGAACATTTTGGCGCTAAAAGTTGTTATTTGAAGCAAGCTAGTCCATTAGACATACATCTTACACTCAAGGCATAGCATTAGTATTGAAGCATACACCACCTCATCTTAAAGCTAAATGTATGTGCACAGTAATTGTTTTCTATTTTATGTTTATCCTGGCCTTACCATTCAATGGCTGAAAAGACAAGTGATTTTTTGCGTGGGTACACATTACATGATGTTTATCATGAACAATCAGAGTTAAGGCACCTACTGGCACTCAGGCATTGGGACAAGGTAAAATGCAACTACTCAACTATCAGTATCAAATGTTGTACAGAAAGAGCACGAAAAAACAATGAATAGAAATTACAATTCACTACAAGTCGACAACCATATAATCTCACTGAAAAACTTGATAAAAGTGCATGCTTCAATAGAAGGTCAAAATTGTAACACTATACCTTGTTAGATCTTGCTTCAGTAATTATATCTTCTAGAAGATCAATGGAAAAAATATGACCAGAACGAGTAACTACAGGATTGGGGACAGATTCTGAGTGAGTGTCGATCATTTCACTAGTGAGATTTATATCAGGGACGGCATTTACATAACTTTTAAGCCCTATTTCTTCAAGACCAACTGTGTGCCTTTCTGGCTCAACAACTACCAGCTGCTCACTGTTCTCAGCATCTTGTACAATTGATGTAGAAGAATGATTTATAGAATCAAAACAGGAGGATTCTTTAAAGAGTGCACGATTATGTGCCGCGATGTTACACTCCTCACTTGTAAAACCATCCATATTAACTAGAGGCGCACTCATACATTCTACAAAAACATCTTCCCTTTCTTCATGCGAATCAGAAGCACACTTTTCATGTACTTTAGAGGAAACAGGTTCTTGAATTGCAGAGGATTCACACTTATCAGCATCACAACATTCACCAGCAAGTTCAGGATTTCTTTGGAAGGGAATGGGATTATAAGATACATCACTTTCACCGATCTCAAATGCCATCAAATTGCCACTAGTACTGTCTTCAACATCATGACGCTGTCCAGCGGAATAACAAGATTCATGGTGTTGGCCATTCCCATCTTTAGCATCATAGGATGAAAATTCATTCGTCTTTTCATCAAATGGTACCATTCTTGGCGACTTACTATCATTTGCCAGAAACATTTTACTCGAATCCACTGCAGCTGATAAAGTAAAAAAGATCATGTCAATCTAATACTTATAGCTGCCCCATTAGTAATCACCTATTACAAGCACATCGCATTTTAGAAAGAAAGAGAAACAACTTTAAACCTCACCCGAAGACGTTTTAACTACAGATACTCTGTTAGGGGATGATAGAATGGGAGATGAATTGGTTCTCTCAGTTAGAAACGGGATGACCTCCGAAAGAACAGCCTCAACAGCTGCATCGGGATCCTTACGGTGTTCAATGGAAACAGCTCTTAGAACCCGAGAATCAATCTGTTTCAAATGACAAGAAATATCAATAGTTCAAAAAATGTACTGCATATGATAGGTTTCAGAATTCAAAGAACTAGTACGAGCCACAAACAGAACATTCTGAAAGAAGGGAAACTTGTAATAATTTTTACAATGAAAAACAATTGCAAATTCCAGGCAAATTATGTACTCATAAGGAAAATAATACTTTTACTCAACTTAGACACGTCACATGTCACATAATGTTTAAGCATTATGATATGATACAGAATTACAGAATTAGATAAATTAGTACAACTAGCATGCAACAGAGAGAGAGAAAATCAGTTTAAAAAATTAAGTTATAATTAGCATAGAGAGCATACCTCTGGAAATATCTCCTGCAAACATTTATATACTCTTTTGTATTCCATCATAACAGATTGTGAATTCAATTCTGCAAAAGTGTAAGATATAAACATAAGAAATAACGAACGCCATATTGGCAAAAAAACAAACCCAAACAGCTGAAGCCGACCCTAATTGTGAACCCATACAAGTTTATCCAAAACCTCATTAATAGGACCAGAAGGAAATATAACTTCTTAGTTTGATGAATTAATACCGAATACTTGACAGGGGTTTGAAAAAAAACGTATCACCTTAATAGAAATTGGGCATGAAACAGCCAATATGGTAAAAAAAAAAAAAAAAAAGCTTGGAGAATCAAGAAAAATATAATTATGCATTTATTGTCCATGGAAGAAGTGCATGCCCTACTCCTCCCGGTAGCAACTACAACAACTAGGACAATCAATTGATCAAATATCGTATAACTTCAGATGAAAGCAAGCTGAATCTCTATTACACATTTACATCATTCTATATACATTAAAAAGGATTAAATTATAATTTAAGCATTAGAAAGCGACAAGAACATAGTATCAATCATTACGTACGCAAAAAAATCCGCAAACATGCAACGAGAAAGAACCACAGAGACACAAAATATGGCGTATGAACCCTAAAGAATGAAAGATTAAAGTGAAGTTCTAAAATTTGGGACGAGAGTGGCGAAAATTCAATACCTGTGTGGCTGTGCAGCTGCAGAGGGTGGGTTTCAGTTACTCCCAAAGAGTTCACAAATTGCTTTAGAAAGGGAAGGCTTAATAATTAAGGAATAAAAAAGGTTATATGTAATTCGGCGGTCCGTATTCCAGACCGAGTGGTCCATAATGCACGGTTAGATTCGAGTTGTATTCATTAATAGAGCAAATATATAAGTCCTAGGAATAGACTTAGAGCCAGTAACTCATATAGGGGTGGATCCGGATCGGGCCTGTTCCGGTTTGGGCCTGCGCCCGGCCGGACTTTTGTTTGGGAAGTAGGGAACCGGAACCGGCCCGGGTAGCCAGCGGTTCCGAGCCAGGCCGGGCCGGGCCAGGCCGGTTTCCGGTTCAATTTTTTTTTTAATTTCTTTTGATTTTCTAAATAACCCCCCCCCCCCTTCACCCCCCAACCCCCCAAAACACCCAGCCCAACCCGGTAGAAAGTAAAAAAAAAATGAAAAAAAATAAAAAAAATTGGTCCAAACCGGGCTCGGACCGCCGGGCCGATTCGCATTTTAGGGGGCCCGAGCCCGCACCGGGATTAGACCGGTTCCGGTTGGCCCGAACCGTCCCCAAGACCGGGTACCGGGCCGGGCCCAAACAGTACTGGGCCGGTCCGGATCCGGGCCGGGCGGCCCGACCTGAGTCCATCCCTACACCCATATAAAGCACGGAGTGGTTCGGAAGGTGAGCTGCTGTGGTATGATAAAATAGAATTCCAACCCCTGGAAAATTCATCTGAAACCTTATCTTTCTTGTCCTCGCCAATTTGCTCTTATCAATTTGCTCCTTGAGATTTGCCATTGAAATTCATGCCCAAGGTGCAGAAGAAAACTCTATCATGTTGCCTTGTGTTTCTTCGCCCACAAAAATCCAAGCTGCACCCCAAAAGGAAAACCGCATGAAGCTCTCGTTCAACGAGAACCAATGCCGCACGAGTGAAGCTCGGCGGAACAAAAAACTCTAACTATGTATGGAGACGGCCGTTCCTCGACAATATCGATAGCAGAGAAAAAACCCTAGCGGTGGTGAACCACCCTAGTTGTGTTTGAGTTTTATAGTACGCATATTCTAAATTAATACTTCCTCCTATTAAAAAAATTGCAATATGATTTTGCATTATTCAGACATTTTACTTTAATCAATAATCAAATTATTGTGTATAAAATGTTATTAAATTTCTATTAATATGAACTTCCAATATATTAATTTTTTATAATGTTTACTAATACGTAATTAAATATAATTATGGTCAAAGTTGTGCGTTGGCAAACGTGAAAATCTAATTGTTGCAACTATTAAAGAACGAAGAATAGTATATCTCAAATAAAACTTTTTTATTGTTTTATATTTAGACACATGTATAATCATCATTAATTTTGTAAACATACAAACAACAACAACAACAACAACAACAATATCCAAGCCTTAATCCTAGAAGATATTGTGGTCGGCTAACATGAATCGAACCATGATATCAGTGCCAAAAAGAGAAGACAAACAAAAATAAAAAACAAAAAGAGAAAAAATAAAAATAAAAATTGATAAATAAAGTAAGATAAAACATACGGAGTATAAGCTAAAGATAAATACTCGTATAAGATAACAATACCATAATAAGAACATAAGAAAAATAAGAACATAAGAAAGATAAAAGACAAAAAAGATAAAAGGGCATAAAAAGCTAGAAGATAAAAATAACATAAGAATATAAAAAGATAAAAAAGATAAATGATAACAGATAAGGAGAGAGGAAAGAATAGATGGACAAGAGATCAATCGTCCACATGAATGTGCGCCCTCCACTTTGCTCTCTCCAACGCCATACTCTCGTCCAATCCAAGAAGACGCATATCAGTTCTGATTCCTCTCATCCAAGTCTGTTTGGGTCTTCCCCTTCCTCTTCTCGCCCTGCCTGGCTGCCTCTTCTCCCCACCTCTCAAGTCGTCTAACAGGTGCATCACTCGATCTTCTACGCACATGACCAAACCACCGCAAACGAGACTCCTGCATCTTATCTTCTATAGGTGCTACTCCCACCTTTTGTCTAATTGTCTCATTCCTCAAACGGTCTTTTCTGGTATGTCCACACATCTAACGCTACATACGCATCTCTGCCACACTCATCTTTTGAATGTGACATTGTTTCACCGTTCAATACTCTACGCCATATATTAATGCAGGCATAATTGTTGTTCGATAAAATTTACCTTTCCGTCTAGTACGTCGACATACCTCGATCACATAAAAATCTTGTTGCACTCTTCCATTTAAACATACAAACATTGTTTTAAAATTTTCACCTATTTGTCTCTTAGACATTAGAACTCTTTTTTCATCTTGATTATTTAATCCTAAGATGAACTAAATTCAATTAATCATACTTAAATTTGCTTGAATGATGTCTAATAATAATGCCTAAAGTTTGCATAACACTTTTAAAGCATTGTTTAAAATGTTAAACAATATGTGAGTCTCTAGTATATGTTTAGAAGAACATAAGTATAATTTTTATGAATTGAACTCACACTACAGATATATAATGTAATATCATATGTATGAATCTAAAAAAATCAATATCAACTCATAATCGAGTAGCCATATCATCGAGCTTTTTAATTAAGTCGAGCTCGAGTATGAGTCGAGTTTGAATCAAGTCGAGATAGGTTCAAGTAAAAGTGATTCAATCTCAAGTAACTTGTGAATAGACTTGCTTGATTAGCATCCTCTACTATACACCCTCCTATAATTTTGTAGTCATGTACCTTTTTGTAATTTTCTTCAATTTTGAACATGTTTTGTACTTTTGTATTTGTATTTTTTTTGCAGTCTTTACTTCTTACTCAATTTAGAACATTTTTTGTACTTCACCTGTTCACCAAGCCAACTCTCCTTATTTTTTCTTTTTTATATATAACTTTTACGTACTGATTTATATAAAAATTGATATTGTGAATTACAAAAAAAATAACAAATTGGATGATCATTTGATTAAAAACACCCCTCTTCCTCTTTTACTAGTAATACTACAATTTTTTTAATTGATTCATAAAAAATGTCTATCAATAGTTTAAAAAATTATAAAGTGAATGTTCATCTTTTTCTTGATGGAATATTTTATTGGTTGTTGCACTTGGTTAATATATGTGTGTTGACATATGTGGCGTTTATTTTTCTTAATAGTTCTTCTTTGAATACATTATATTTTTCTAACTTTTTCTACTTATATATTTCAACAAATTTAAAAAACAAATTATTAGTTTTTGAGTTTGATGTTCAAAGAACTTGCAAATGGTTGAAATATTCTTTTCTAACAACTTTTTCTATATAAAAAGTAAACTTAAAACATTATTAATTTGAATTGCAATGTGTTTATTACGTGTGAAATATTAAAATGATTTTTTCCCTACACTAAAATGTGTATAATGTGTAAAGTAAATGTGTAATTGTGTGACATTATAAAATAAGCACAACAAAATTTGTAATTCTAGAATACGATTTCATAGAGATTTTTAATTTTTATGCTCATTTTACAAGTAAATTATGTATGCTCATTTAAAATATTTGATGTGCCCGTTTTATAATGTCATATATATCAATGCTCATCTTTTAATCGTTCTAATTTAAATATAACTAAAACCCATTTCTACAATTCATGTATATAAACTATCATTTTTTTTATTTCTAACCTATTATAGTATATGTTCTATGTCAAAGGTCAACATTCTTGAATTGAGATGAGATTCGAACTTGTGACCTCCTCCTTGGAATGTTGCGTTGATGTCATCGCACCACAAAATACTTGGCATATATATATATATACTAGTTTTTTTGTCGCGCGTTGCGCGATAAAGTCAGTGCCCAATAATATTTTACATAATGTAATTGCAATTATGTACTCCTTCTTAGAACAAATTGATTTAGTGCCAGAATTTACTATAGTAAGCAGTCAAAATAATTGGTAATATATTAATTTATTACTAAAAAGAGATCTAAAACATAAATGAAGTGAGGGAAATTAATGGAAACAGTAAAAAGAGAAGTGTGTTGATGTTTTACCATTGGGAAAAATAACTAAAATACCCCAATCTGTGAAAGGGTGTGAGATAAACACCCAAAACTTTTACATGTAAATTAACTACCCCAAAGTCCGAAACTATATATATAAAGTTATTTTAACATCATGGCCATGCATTATTTATTTCAAAAATGTAAATTTGCGGTGTTAATTACATAATATGAAATAGCAAATTGAAAACGTTGCAATTATATAGAGTGAATGTAATACTATTTATTTTGCAATGGGAGATTGGAATGCTAAAGTATTCTAAATTATAAAATTAACACACACAAAAATTAACATTTTTTGAAAGAAATACGAAGTAATACATGAACATGGTGCTAAAATAATTTTTTATATAAAGTTTAGATTATTTAAATTGCATATGCGAGTTTGGGGTGCTTACCTCACACCCCTTCAAAGTTTGGGGTGTTTACCTCACACCCCTTCAAAGTTTGGGGTACTTTAATTATTTTTCCCTTTATAATTTACAGTCACCTAATTGGCACAGTGGCAGACCGGTCGATGAAACCAAACCCAAAACATTGTGGCATCAGATCGGGACATGTTATTACTATGAGAAATAATTAGATTCATGTAATGAGTAAAAAAGTCTTAGATGTTGACGGAAATTTTAAACCTCCAACATATTGCATTTTGGAGAAATGATGTTTGGATAACTAAGATCTAAGCCATTAAGTTAGTAATCTCTATCAGAAAAGTTTTTTTCCATTCAATTGATCATCCGCTCTAAAGGCTATCAGTTAAAATTCATCCATTTTTTTCTGGATGGAAGTCATCACCAATTCACCATCACATGAGACTGATGCATTAACTTTCCTGCACAAGAAAAATAGTACTACCTCCGTCTCATTTTATGTATCTTAGTTTGACTTGGCACAGTTATTAATGAGGTGATTGAAAAAGTAAAAGTTGTGGTTGAAATTAGAGTATAGTAAAGTGAAATGGTGTAAACCACATATTTCTTTCCAAAAAGGAAAGGAGACACTTATTTTGGGACAACCCAAAAAGGAAAGTAAGACAGGTAAATGGGACGAATAGGATAA